GGGGACCCCACTCCCACCCCAGAGGTCTGGACTGGACTGGAGCCCATTCCCAGAGCCTGTCTGGGACATCATTATTTTTCATCTGTAGCCCTTACCTCTTAATGGGACTCTGATGGGAGACCCCCACCCACGTGGACCAGCTCAGAGGCAGATCTCCTTCCTGGCCCATCCTTGGGTGTCGCCCCTTCCTCTGCCCATGTGCCTGATACCCTGGGGCCCTGCTGGATATGTGCTCCTGACCTGGAGCCAGGGAAAACAAGGGAAGGCCTGTGTGGAGCTCGGGTCTCCCCCGAGGGAGAAGGGCTTTTGTATTGGGGAACAAAACGCTGCTCAGAATGGGCTGGCAAGCGAGTGGCTCGGGTAACCTCCTCCCTTGGGGGATGTTCCTGGGGCATGGAGTATGTTCTCTGTTGGTTCAGAGGATGGGGAGGGAGAGAGCCAGCACTGATGGGTGCCACGGTCAGCAGACCCTGGGCATTACTCTTAACGACCATAGGCCAACATCATGGTCATTGAGGTGACAGGACTCAGAGATGCATCTAGTTCAAATCCCAGCTCTGCCTCTTCCAGCTAGCTGTGTGGCTGCAGGCAGGTTGCCTCACCACTCCGAGTCTTCTTTTCCTGTAAAGCGAGCATATCTTCTCCCTCTCCAAGGGCTGGGGATGAAATGGAACTGCGTCTCTAAGTTGTCTGGTGCACAATCACCTGACACAAACACACTCACTGCCACGGAGTTGATGCCAACTCATAGCGGCCCTACACCATAGGGTAGGATTGCCCCTGAGAGCCTCTGAGACCAGAACTATTCATGGAGCCAGAAGCCCCCTTTCTCCCTTGGAGTGCCTGGTGGTTTTGAACTGCTGACCTTGCGATCACAACCCAACGTGTAACCACTACGCCACCAGGGTCCCTTGGTGCACAGTAGGCATGCGATAAATGGCAGTAGGCCACTCTGGGTGCCTCGTCGGTGGGAGCCCCAGGGGCACATCCACTCACATGATTGGAAGGAGCAGCCTGTGAGCCCCATGTGAGGCACATATCCCTCACAACTGCCCACTGGGAGCTTCCTCACATCCCATGGGCCACTCTGTGGTCACACCTTGTTCCTGGACCATCCTTGGCAGAGGAAAGGAGCCACCGTGGTTGACTCAGGGGACTTAAGCCATGCCCCTGGAGCCAGGAATGAGGGCCTCCCCTGAGTCATGGGTGGAGGGGTGCTTGGATGCAATTGGGGTTCTCTAGCAAGGAAGCGCCCACTGTCTGTGCTCACTGTTGCAGGCACTCTGTCCGTCCATCTGGTGGGGGGGTGGGAGTTCTTCCTCTTTTCCTCTGATCCTGTACTGTACCAAACATGATGTCCTTCTCCAGGGACTGGTTACCCCTGATGACATGCCCAAAGTTCACACAACTACTATTGTGAGGATGGTGCAGGACTGAGCAACGGTTTAGTCTGTGACGTCATGAAGTCGCTGGGAGTCCGAACAAGTCTGCACACCTGATTACAACAGTGGCCAGCAGGCCGGGGGAAACGTGGTGGTGTGGGACCCAGGAACACCTGCCGGTGCCACAGCTCCTCCCTTGCCGTCACGTTACGTGGTTCTGTGGCGCTGAGTCCTTGCCTAGGAGGCCTCAGCACAGAGAGGACGGAAGGGGTGGTTGGGGCGTCAAAAGCTGGGAGTGGGGACGAGGATCTGGGAGTTCAGGCCCCATGGGCTGCCTAATCCTACCTGCGGTGTGTCCAGAGATGTGCATAAGCCAGCCCGAGGAGCTGCAGGCCAGGACTGGGAGGGGAGCCGGGTGAACAGCCTGGGCACCAGTCTGTGGAGGGGCAGTGCCTGCTCCCACCTGGGGAGGGCCCAGTGCTGCCTCAGGCTAGTCCTGGGATAGGCACCACTCTGGGGGTGGTGGTGGTGGTGGTGGTGGAACCCAGCAATTAAGTCACCACCTCAACCTTGTTAGCCTGTGAGGTGGAGTTATGGGTGGAGGCTGGGCTGTGGGGAAGAAGTCGCTTGTCCTTAGGCAGAAGGGAGGGGTCCCTGGGTGGCAAGGTGGTTAAGGATTCAACTACTAGCCTGAAGGTGGGTGGCTCGAACCCACTGGGAGGCATCTCAGAAGGCAGGCCTGGCCATCTGCACCTGGAAGGCCCCAGCCTTGGAAGTCTAAGGGACACAGTTCTGCCTTGCACCCATGCCACGGTCTTCGGCGTGGGAATGGACTCTGACAACTAGCAACCACAAGGTGCAGGGGGCTTGTTGCTGGCTGCTAGCTGAAAGGTGGGAGGTCCCAGACCTTTGGACTCAGAAGAAAGACCTGGCAATCTATTCTGAGAGACCCATCCGCCCTCGAGAGTCCCGCGGAGCACCCGTGGGGCCGGAGTCGGGCCGGCCAGCGGGCACTGGTTTGTTGTAACTGGAGAGTTCAGAGAAAGGTTGAACTTCAGGTCTGGCTTAATGACATCACAATAGACTCCGTTCTTTCTCCCTTTGTGCTCCCACAAGACGAGTCTCCCCCTGGGAACAACCACCCCAGGAACCTGTTACTCAGCTTACCTCACTCAGGAGGGGAGAGGGGAGAGGGGATTGTTCCCAGGCAGCTGCTCCCATCAGGATATTTTTCCTCATCCTCCAACCTTGCTGGTCTCAGTTGTGGCCCGTCCTTGAGCCAGTTCCATGGGGATTAAGTTAAGGCCAGCCCCTTGCCCTGACTGAAAGGTGGGGAGTTACCGAGAGAAGGGTGTAGATAGCATAGCGTCACCTCCAGGAGGGTTTTCAGGACTGTTCAGGTGGAAGGTGATGAAACCTGGAGTAAAAAGTGAACCAAACCAAACCTTTTGCCAGCGAGGTGACCCCGTGGCTGTCAGAGAACTGTGCTCCGGGTGGTTTTCAGGGCTGATTTCCCTGAATAGGTTACCAGGCTTTTCCTCGGGGGTGCCTCTGGGTGGACGTCAATTGCCACCCTTCCAGTTAGCAACCGGGTGCACTAACCATTAGCCATTGTAGCACCCCGGAACTCACTGCCACCGAGTCCATCCCGACTCAGGGCGACCCTGCCTCGGGTTTCCCATATTGACTGAGAGTCTCTATGAAAACAGACAGCCTCATCTTCTTCCTGGGGTGGATTTGAACCACCGACCTTGTGTTGAGCAGCCTAAGCTACAGGGCCCCCAGGGCCCCCTGCGGATGCGTTAGCGGTGGCTGTGAGGAAATTGGGCTCAGAGAAGAGGTCAGGGCATGGGGGTGGTATTGGGCACGGTGGGAACCCAGGAGACTGGGGAGAGAGAGAATGGGTGGGGCATAGGCAGCACCAACACACAGGGGGCGGGGTGGGGCAGCTGTCATTGTTGTTAGGCACCACGGTGTGGGTTCCGACCAGCAGCGGCTCTGTACACAACACAACAAAACGCCGCCGGGCCGAGCCATCCTCACCACGGTTCTGGTGTCTGAGCCCGTGTTGCAGCCACTGTGTCCGTCCATCTGGTCGAGGGCCTCCCTCGGTTTTGCTGCCCCTGCACTTTATCAAGCACAATGCCCTTCTCCACAGACTGGTCCCTCCTGACAGCGTGTCCAAAGCACATGACATATAATCTCGCGAGCGCTGCCTCTACGAAGCACCCTGGCTGGACTTCTGAGCCAGGTTGGGTTGTTCTTTGGGTGGCCCGCGGTACTTTCGGTGTTCGGCACCAGAACACACAGTGCTTAAGGGGCAGAGCAGGGGATGCCAAGCCTGTCTCCCCTCAGCCCCCTCACAGCTTTGCAGAGCTCCCCTCGTGGTGGAAATGTTCCAGCCCCAGGATGAGCCGGCACCCCCAGAGCTTCTCAGTGGGTCCCAGACGCTTTGGGGCTACACGGATGCAGTAGGAGGGCATCTCTTGTATGTTCTTCAAACATTCCCTGAGCTCTTTATGGGACTGATTGGGGACAGCATCTGGATTGTGTTCCTGAGCTGAAGGTTGGGTCTGCCGATGGTGCACCCTGAGACTTTCTGTCCTCCCACCAACTCTCCCTGCCAGCACGAGCTGTTACTAGGAGGCTGGACACTGGATGCCACATCCGTGTTTGGCAATATTTCCACGGCACAGGTCCCGGCGAGCTTTCTCCTTGGCTCCTCTGCCTCAAGAGGCAGGCATGCACTCTGGTGCCCACCCCCTTCATTTCCTAGCTCGCCGCACCCTCCTTTACCACCGTGTCCGGGGCTCGCCGGCACCCATGGGAACCCACAGTGCCCCGCCCTGAACATGGACTTTGGTTGAGGGAGCTGTCTTCCTCCCTCAGTCGGGTCCGTGCACGGAACGATGGGGTTAGAAACCGAGGGACCGGGCCGTTTTCTTCCTACAGCGCTCGTTTGCCTTCTGCACCAGCCTGTGGGCTTCCGAAGACAGGCCCGGCTGTCTGCTGGGGACGCTCTGGGGCACATTCTATCCAGACACCCAGGAAGCTGCCCAGAGGGAGGACGCACTCATGACGGAGAGCAAGAGTGCCTGCCCAGCACGTGCAGCCTGAAGCAGACGAGACTGGGGCTGCGTGTGTGCGCATGCGCGCGCGTGTGCGCAGTACAGACAGGGAAAGAGCAACAACAGAAATGAAACGACCCACATAGAAATAATGGAATGATGACGCCATGTGGGAAATATCAGTGAGGTCACTGAACAATACGTACAGAAATTTTCCAGTGGAAACCTAGCGTGTGTGCAGACTTGCCCCCAAGTCCGATGGTCACTCCAGGAGAAAAGGGGCCGAGGCCAAGGCTGCACACACAGTGGTCGCTCAGAGAGTACACGCCTGATGGGTAGGTAGACTGGGAGGACCCTCCCAAGAGGCGGATTTGAGGACTTGGTTGAGAGTAGCCAGGCACAAGTGCTGGGCCGGGCCAGTGGGCTGTAGGAGGCCCGCCTGCCCCTTTCTCTGCCCTCGGTCTGATTCTGCCTGCCCCGTGCCTCCTGCGTGGGCGGTCTGTGTTTCCGCCTCTCTAAAGCAGACCCCACCTTTGTGTTCCCCTTGCAGGATGCCTAACTGGGGAGGAGGCAAGAAGTGTGGGGTGTGCCAGAAGACCGTCTACTTTGCCGAAGAGGTCCAGTGCGAAGGCAGCAGCTTCCACAAATCCTGCTTCCTGTGCAGTGAGTACAGTGCCCCTGGCCCTGATGTAGCCATGGGGATGGGGACCTGGGCCCGCCCCCACAGGCTGGCCTGTCAACACCCGAGGGAACTGGTCCCCTGGGATGTAAACAACTTGACATTTGGCTGACGCACAGCTGGGGAGGGAAGCACTTAAGGGCCTCTTTGTTCCGTTCAGAAGCGGCTCTCTTGCTCTCTGAGGGGTTAGGACTTGCCAGGGCTGGGGGTGGCGGGCACGGAGGGGCTGAGAGCCAAGCTGTGAACGCCACGGTCCAGAAAACTTTCCACTGAGCTCCCTCTGCTCCCTCTCCCCGCCACGGCCCCATCGCTTATGAGGCAGCCGCTTTGAGTCCACCGTTTCACAGGCCATGGGACCCAAACGCCTCCGCGTTAAAAGGCAGTGCAGGCCACAAGCCTCTGGGGACGCTGAGCTTGGAGGTCCAGCTAGGTTTCCCTCACCTCAGCCCCTTCCTGCCCGGCAGTCTTTCACTTCCTGTTTCTGGATGCGAGGGGTAGGATCTCACAGCTCATTGATGTCATACCCAGTGTTGGCATCGTCAAGAGACAGGGCTCTCTGATGGAGGCCACCAGCTGGGCGAACCTGGGAAACAGTACGTGAGGTGAAAGAAGGCAGTCACCAAGGACACGCATCGAGCAAGCTCACGTCGATGGATGAAATGCCTACAAGCAGGCTGTTGCATAGAGACGGGAAGCAGATGAGTCACTGGTTGTGAGGGGCTGGGGGGTGGGGTGTCGTTACTGTTGAAGGGACACGGGGTTCCTGTTGTGGACGATGAAATACTCCTGGAGACAGAAAGCAGTGTTGACGACTGACCCTGGTGAACGTGATGAGTCGCTGAGCTGCGAGTACCCTTCGACCACGTGCCTTAGACTGGTCGTTCCCCTTGGTGACGCAGGAAAGAAGAAAGGTGTGCGCCAATCACAAACCGGGATGCGCAGAGAACCAGGAGACACCGGGTGGTCCAGGGCAGTCAGGGGACCAGGAACCCCAGGTTGCTGCCATGGCCGCGGCTGGGCTGGGCAACAAGAGCCGGGCCAGGTGATGCTGCCAGCACACTGCGGAAGTGAGCGGGAGCTTGGAGAAGCTTCTCCCCAGATTCCCAAAGGATCTCGTGGGTGGTGGGTGGCCATGACAAAAGGTCCGAGTTAGCAGTGGCTCCTTCAGCGAGAGGCGTCTCCCAGAGGCCAGGCGCAGCGTGGGAAGCAGCCAGGTCAGCCTTCCCTTATCCCAGTGAGAGGAGGTCCGTGCCTCAGCCCCTCTCCGGTTGAGGTTTCTCATGACCGTGCAGACTACTTACCTCATGGAGTTGCTGTGAGACTCAGATGAAATGACGCTTGTAAAACAGAGAGCCCTGAGAACATGGTGAGCGTCCATGCATGGCCGACCCCCCTACTCCAACCCCACATATGCACCCTAAACCGATGCACGCACGTGCTTGCATGAGCAGTGCTGATGGTGTGGTGCCAAGACCACCTGAGGGAGCTAGCAGTGGTCCTGTCTGGCTGTATCACGTGCCGTGACGCAGAGTTGTGGTGTCTGGTTCCTTTGTTCTAAGTGAGCTATGCCACAATAGGAGCTGGTCTCGGATGGCCACCAGACTCGGATGCCCACTTGCTGCTGGTCTGATCAGCCCACAGCCATCAGGGCCCCTCACACTGCCACAGCCTGCCCGGATGGGGCAGGCCCGAGGCTGCCTCTGATGACTGGGCTATAAATGAGCTGGGGTTGGGGGTTGGGGAGGGCTGTTGGCGTCTAGCCCACAAAGGAGACTGGGAGGCTGGAAATGGCAGCCTCTTCTTATCAGCACTTCATTCCACTTAGGAATTTTCTGGTCATTTACTTTCCAGGGTCACTGGCCTAGCTGGGGAAGGGGGGGGGCAAACTGCTAGAGACCTACCGGCTGTTTCTTTGCTCTCAAAGAATGTTGCTTAACCACACGTAAAAGGGGCCAGCTGTGGGTGCGGAGGTGTCCGCCAGCAGGCCCGCCTGCGGAGGAGTAGCGGTTGGTCAGGCAGTTGGTCAGGCGGCTAGTGGGCAGTCAGGAATTCAGGGGGTGGCAGAGGAAGGAAGGAGCAGGGCCTGGGGCAGGGCATGAGGGGCTGCTGAGGATTAGAAACACTTGTGGAAAGTCAGGCTGGGGAGCATGGCTGGGGAGGGGTGTTGTGTAAGGCGCCATAGGAAATGGTGCCCCACTTCTCCGGGAGGGGGTGTCTCAGGGCCAGCTGGTCCTGGATGCCAGAGCTATAGCTGAGCACCTAGCACTGCCCGTGTCCCAAGGGTCAGGCATGTGTCCACACTGTGCTGAACACAGCACCTGGCACACAGTCGGTCCTGGACAGGTTTGCTTGTGAGTGGCAGTGTCTAGCACATAAATCCCCAGATTTAAGTGGTCTAGCCCCCCTCATTTTCAGAAAAAAAACAAAACAAACGAAAAACCACTCAGCACCCTCCAGGAATTAATGTTTGTACTGTAGCCCAGGATAGGCTCCCTGGTGCATCATGGTTACACGCTGGGCTGCTAACCACAAGGCCCATAGTTCGAAACCACCTGCAGCTCCACAGGAGAAAGATGAGGCTTTCTACTCCGTAAAGAGCTGCAGTCTCGGAAACCCATGGGGCAGGTCTACCCTGTGTCCTAGGGTTGCTGTGAGTCGGCATTAACACTGTGGCCATGAGTTGTTTTGTTTTATGTTTTTAAAAACTATCTCCGGATAAAGTGTAGGTATCTGCTTTTGCAGTCCATCCTGGATCGCCCACTTTGGGAAACACTGGTCTGCCCTGGATTCGGGATATTCCACGGGACCCAAGGACTTTCCCTCCTAGGGAAGGCAGAGGCTGGTTCTGGCTGGGTGGGTCCGGTGGGCCCTCCAGAAGTCCCTGTGACCCGGGGGCCTTGGCTCTGGAGCCTACTCAGCCCGGCCCTGCACTTCCATTCCTGCAGACCCAGCAGGGGCCTGAGGAAGACGGGTGGGTGTTCCAGACGAAGCCAGGGAGGGCTACCTTCACCTGGGTCTGACCTGGGTCTGGAGAGGACCTGCCACACTCCCAGGGCCTCACGGGGCAGCCAGTTTCCATTAGCAGGTGCACCTCAGAGGCAGTGATGATGGCGTTGCTGTGCTGGGGGCCCGCCCCGAGGCTGCGTGCCCATCTCTGAACTGTCACCCGCTTCCCTCTGGGGCACAGAGGGGATGAGATGCCAGCCCTGGAATGAAGAGCCAGCCTGTTCTAACCCTGTGGTGGAGGCTGCTGGGCCTGGGCCCAGCACATTGACTCTGGACTCTGAACAGAATCCAAAAGCTCAAGTGAAGTTCACAGAAGCCCTACTTGCCCTCTGTCACCAGGTCTCTCCACCTGCAGGCTCAGGTCCCCTCTCCATTTCCACCCCCTGGTCCCGCATGCTGGCCCTGCTTGGAAGGAGCCACGGGCTGTCCGAAAACAGGGCTGGAAATCAGGGGCTGGGGGGCTTGCCTGGCTCAGCTTCTGACTTTGGATTTTCTTTGTGGGCCCTAGTGAGGGGACTCTGTACCCTCCCCTGGGGTTGCCTCTGCTCTGAGCTTCCAAAGAGCACCACAAGGCTCAGCCAAGCCAGGCTCATCTAGAAGCATGAGTCTCCAACATGTGCGTGCATACATCTAAGGTGTGCTTGGTTGGTGCACGTAATATGATTTGGTTGGAACTTATCCATGCGGTTATTCCAAATTCCCCTTGCTTGAGGCTCTGGTTGAACCTTTGGGTGCTCTAAGGTCGTGTCGTTGAGCTCTGCACATTGGGCTGCTAACCGCAAGGTCAGTCGTTGGAAACTACCAGCCACTACTTGGGAGAAAGATGAGACTTTCTGCTCGCATAAAGATTTTCAGCCTCGGGAAACCCACAGGGGCAGGTCTGTTCTGTCCTATAGCATCACTGTGAGCAGACATGATCGTGATCTCATGAGTGACTGTGGAGTGAGTGGGCGTCTTTCGCCACATCACCTGGAGGGCTTTGGGTGGGAGGAGTTGAAGGTGGGCATGGGCCTCTGGGAGAAGCAGGGCAGAGCGACTGAGCAGGGAGGACCTGTCTGAAGCCTGTAAGCGAGTGTTGAAGCCATCAGTAATGTCTCCGTCTGTAGGTGCTGCTGTTGCCTTGGGGCCCCGACTGGAGAGACCAGTCAAAGTGGACGTGTTCCTCAAACCCCTCTGACTGCCGTGGGCTTTCCCTTTGATCTCAGAATTCCCAGCTCAATTTGGGTTTGACCAGTAGTAGTTCCAGACCAACCCTGACTCCCCACCCTAGAAGGGAATGTTGCTCCCTTGGCTTGTTGTTCCCGCTCTCTCCTTCCCCAGAGCCAAGACCCAGGGGAGGAGGTGGGAAGAACTATTTTTGGGCTGCCCAGAATGCTGGAATGAGGTAGGGATTTCGAGGCAGGAGGGGGTGTGTCCTTATTTGGTCTACAGTCTTTAACCTGGATCTCAGGACAAGGAGAGGAGCTGGCAGAGAACTGGGCCCTTTAAAGGCAGCGAGGAACGGAGCCGAGAACCCTCTGGAAGGGAAGTAGAAGACTTTTCGTCTCTCATGGCTTCCCTAGTTTCCATCTTTAAGGAAGATGTGTTTGAGGAGACAATCCAGTTCAGACCAGTGTGTAAAGAATGCCATAGAACCAATCAGGAGCTTCAATACTTAGCGTGAAGTTGATGCTCTTGGGAGAAGTGGTGCGGGCTGGAACTGCTGGGGTTGGAAGCACGTGGTCTCTTAAGGGCTGGACCTGGCCCCCTCCCCCTCCTCTTGGGATGGTGCTAGTTTTATAGGAGACTACCGGGAGTGGCCAGCCTCCTGTCCGCTGTGGCATGGTGCAGGTAGGACCTTGTTTAATCCTCACTCCCACCCCGGTGCATTTACAGTGAGGGCACTGAGGCTGGGAAGGTGAAGTAGCTTGCCCAGGTCACCCACAAGAAAGGAGAGCTTGGGTTTACTTCTGGGCTCTGAACTGCCAGCTCTGGATGGCTGGGCACAGCTCCCTTCTGAAATCAGCAGGAATGTATGTAAGGCCCACGGGCCTTCTGGTTCATCTCATTCCAGTCTCCCTCCTCCCGGGAGTCGGGACATTCTTCCTGGTTCCTGACCGGAATTCTTCCTGCTGCAAAGTGGTTTCTGAGAATAGAAACTCCAGATCCTGTTATTGCAGTTAGCATGGCCTGCCCTTCGCTCTACGTCCTCCATTCTGGGTGCTTTGTGTGTGCGCGTGTGTAAGTATAAAGGAATATTTATACATATACATAAGTAGATAGGCATATATAAATATATAGTTTCAACCCCCCACTATTTCTCCCAAGTGACTCAATTTCACTCTAAGTATTTCTTTAAGTGTCATCCTGATGGCATGTCTATAGGTGTGTGTATACAGGGAGCCCTGGTGGCATAGTGGCTATGCATTGGCCCGTGAACAAGGTCAGCAGTTCAAAAACACTAGCCACTCTGCAGGAAAAAGACGAGGCTTTCTACTTTTGTAAAGAATTACAGTCTTGGAAACCCATAGGGGCAGTTCTACTGTCCTATAGGGTCTGGTTTTTAAAAAAATACATATATTTTTATGCATATTTATTTAGGCATACATATAGGTGTGTATACAGGCATATAGAAATGTGTGTATCAATATACCTTTTCCTAGATATATATCTGTATATGCCAAATGATGTTCTTCTGGGGGCATGACTTTATCTTCCCCCTCAGCCCTCCCGCAGCACACACAGACTGCTCCTCCTGGGTTCTAGTGTAGAGACAGGAAAACCCTGCCCTCTCCTTCCTTCCCTTCTTTCTTCTCCTCTCCCGTGAGAACACAGGGGCTCTTTGTCAAAGGCAGAATGAAGGAGGCCAGCCAGATTCCTTTGGCTTGGGCCAGCATGGGCTGTTGCCTCCTCTGAGCTTTGGGGTGCACTGCACTGGTGGGGAGGCACAGCAGGCCGGGAGACAGGCAGGCAGGACCTGCAGATCCCATCTCCTTTCCTCTGGCTCACTGGCCTCTCAGGCCTCTCAGCTGCTCGTGAAAGACCAGGATATGATGCTGGGAACCGTTGGGAGAGTTTCACCACCTGGGGGAGGCCTTGCAGCGAACTAGCAGCTCACCTGGTGGTGTCCTGGTTACTCATTGGGCTGCTAACCTCAAGGTCAGCAGTTCGAAACCACTAGCCGCTCTATGGGAGAAAGAGAAGACTTTCTACTCCAGTAACCAGTTACAGTTTCAGAAACCCAGTGTCCTGCGCAGTCCAGTCGCGGTGAGTGGGCATGGACTCGAGGGCAGTGAGGGAGTGAGCAGCTCCCCATACTGACTCTCCCTTCACAGTGGTCTGCAAGAAAAACCTGGACAGTACCACCGTGGCTGTGCACGGCGAGGAGATCTACTGCAAGGCCTGCTACGGCAAGAAGTATGGGCCCAAAGGCTACGGCTACGGCCAGGGCGCAGGCACGCTGAGCACTGACAAGGGGGAGTCGCTGGGCATTAAGCATGAGGAGTGAGTAAAAGATCCTTTCCCACCCCTGCCTGTCCCTGAGCACCCTTTCCCCCTGTGTTGGGCACGTTTCTAACCCTTTTGGTCATGCAGTAGGAAGCTCAGAAAGTCATTTTCTGAAAAGGTGATACGGAGCACCCACCACCTGTCAGGCCTTCCGGAGGAGCCAGGGCCCCTGTGGGGAGTGGAGTTGACCAGACGCCTCCCCTCATGGGACTTGCACCCTATAGCTTTCGAAGCATCAGCACTGGGAGAGTCCAGTGACCTCGTGCTAGGGGCCAGAGAGGAATGCGTGCAGAGCGGGGCCTGGGCCTCGGAGGTTCACTCAGCACCACCACCTCGCTCTCCTGCCGTGGCAGTGCCGCAGGGTGTCCCTGGGTCTCTTTGAGCCGGCACTCACCAGCCTCTGGCCTCTGGTCAGCAGTGATTGTTAGCAGACATCCTGGCTGGTTCCCTGGCCCTCGGGGGGATGGGCAGAAGTGACAGCTGAGTTACCACCTTTTCAGCTAAGGTCTTGCTCCCATGGGAGTGATTTGTCAGTAGATTTCTCTGGGGAACAATAGGAAAATGAACCCGCTGCGGGGACCACAGAGGGCGAGCCCTAGCAAATGAGGCATTAGAAAATAACTCGGTGTTTGTGTTTGTGTTTGTGTGTGTGTGTGTGTGTGTGTGTGTTTCCACTGGATGACTGTGCCTTAGTTTGTCCAGCTGTAAAATGGGAGAGGCTCTCTGAGTTCTGTGGCCCAGGCCTCTGTGGCTCTGGCTGGGAGAGCAGCCTTCGTGGCCTGGCGTGGGCCGAAGGTGGTAGTCGTCTCTGCGTGTCCTTCCCCATGCAGGGCCCCTGGCCACAGGCCCACCAGCAACCCCAACGCGTCCAAGTTTGCCCAGAAAATTGGTGGTTCGGAGCGCTGTCCCCGCTGCAGTCAGGCTGTCTACGCTGCGGAGAAGGTGATTGGCGCTGGGAAGGTAAGGCGGCTCTCGGGCATGGTGGGGATTGAGGGGCGAGATGGGCGACTTTCCTGAGAAGTGAGGCCCAGAACTTTGCACGCCCTGACCTTAGCTCTGTCCAGTGGGCTCAACCCCTTCCTTCCCTTTTAAGACTCTGGGGTAACCAAAGAGCCGAGATCACTCATGCATAGTGATATCACCATTGTCTATGGGAACCCTTGAGTGGCTCTGAGGGGAAATTGAATAAAATTATATACATAAATTATAATATATAAATATATTATAATATAATGTAAATATTATAATAGTTTATAATATAACTCATAATGTAAATATAATAAAATTATATTTATATTATGAAGACCACCTTGATGATCTGCTCCTAGAAATACTTGGAGCCCAGAAGAACTATATGGTGCCCAGCTACCACGTTTGCCCTTCTGATCAGGGCCCCGAAAGATAAATCCTGAGATAATGGGGGAAAACAGTGTGGACCAGAACTCGAATTCTTACAAAGCCCAGACTTTAATGACTGGACCAGTTGAGACCAAAGGGCTCCCCGGGACTATCACTCTGAGAAACCTGTAAACCTGTTCAATACCATCTCCCAAGGTCACACCTTAGCGCAATGACATTGTCTCATAAAATAAAGGCTTCCACTCGTGAGCACTACACTCCTTTGAAAATTCATCTGCAGGATACCAGGAGGTCCACAGTTTCTCCAAAGCAACGAGGGGATGGTAGTTGGTCAGGGAGCAAGACAGTGGACACCAAACAAGCAGAAGAGAAAATAAGGCGCCTCTGTGAAAAACATACCTACATTGTTGAATAATATGCATAGAAATTGTTGAATGGGAATCTAATTTACAATGAAAGCCTGTACCCCAAGCACAAGAAGTTCTACAAGGCTATATATATGGCCTGAGACACCCCCCCCTCCCCCCAGGAAGTTCTACTCTGCTGTGCAGGTTTGTGAGTCGGAATCTTGGAATCAAGATCATAGCACACAACCTCGTAGAGCTCAATCTCTGCCTCTCGTGGAGGGCACCACAGAGCATCCCCGAGGCCCTGAAATACTATATGCACAGCTTCGTGGGAACACGTCTTCCTCTGGGAAGAGGAGCCATTGCTTTCATCCACGTCCATTCTGTTTCACTGGAAGCACATGGCTCAGCCACTTGCTGCTGTCCAGGTGAGCCTGACTCCTGGCAGTCCTGTAGGACGCAGTGAGCTTCCCCGAGGGTGCACGAGGCTGCACTCTTTCCAGAAGCAGACTGTGGGTTCAGATCTCTGATTGTTTGAGTCTCACCTGGCACCTTCAGCACTGCACCACCAGGACTGCTGTCATGGGGTGCAGATCCCCAGAAACAAGGTAACTGCAGGGCAGAGATTTTTAAAGCACGGGGCCAAACAGGACCACCCAGGAGGCTTTTTCAGACTCATTCTAACGGCCATGCACGTCCTTCCTGTGTTTTTCGAGAGTCAACCCAGCCACGCTGCACAGTGAGAGTCACCGTAGTGAGCCCCCGCCGTTTAATCGCTCTCCTTTCACTGCCAGTTCTGACTCACCGTGAGTCTCTAGGGCAGAGTAGAACTACCCCTGTGGGTTTCTGAGATTCTTTATGGGAGTAGAATGCCTTGTGTGTCTTCCACGAAGAGGCTGGTGGTTTTGAACTGCTGACCTCAGAGTTGGTTAGCAGCCCAGGGCTCCTATCTGAAGTCAAGAAGCAGAGGGAGAACTCTCGCTTCCAGGGGCCGCTGGTTGTAGACCAAAGGCCAGAAGCTCAGAAGGCACACAGCTAAGGGAGGTTTCTGCATCACCCACATGAGACCTAGGATGGGGGTGACCTGGCCGCGTGGCACAGGAAGCTTGTGGAATACCTGGGCCAAGAGTCCGCCTTCACCGCTTTGGATTTGGATCTTGACTCCCAAGGTTTTTCAGCTGTGAGGAAGGAGGCCTGAGAGAGGGGGTCAGGGCCTAACAGGCATGCAAAGTCAGGCTGTCAGCGGAACCATCGCAGGGCCATTCGCTGGGGATGGCTATTACTGACCGTGTTATGGGGAAGGGACCAAGAGTGGGAAGTGTTACCTCATTTCCCCAGACCATCCATCTAGTTTAAAAATGGCCAAGCTAGGAGCCCAGGCCAGGTTCCTCCTAGTGCACCTGGCTTGAGTCCGAGGCTGGCAGTTTACTAGTTGTGTGGCCTTGGACAACCAGTTTGACACAGTGTTTATGTAAGTGGGCAATACCGGCCCTGGGGCCACACTGGAATGACCCAGAGGTGCTGCAGATGCAGGTACCCTCTCGTGCATTAGCCTGGAATATGGGTCACAAAATGAAAGTTTTAGAGTGGAGTAATTTTTTTTCCTCTGAAAAGGGAGCTGTGGGTCAAATCCGTTTAGGAGCCTCTGTTTCAACCTCCCTGGGCCTCAGCTCTGCATCCTTTGCGCTGTGCAGGGACCTGAACATTGGAGGTTATTGTTAACATTATTAAGTTGGTACATTTTCACCCCCTGCTATGTCTTTCAATGAGAATAGAAAATTAGAACACATACTAAGGATTCAGTGTCTCCATCACCCAGACAGGATAGGGGTCTTAATGAAGGCAGCATGACTCAGGGGGAGGGTCACGGAGAAGTCTTCGATCAAGCGGCAAAGGTTGAGCGAAGCCCTCCACCGCCATCCCTTTTGCCTGGTCCCAGAACGAGATACTGAGGAGCAGGGAGTACTTTATAGGCTGTCAGGAGAGACCAGTCCCTGGAAAAGGACATCACGCTTGGTGCGGTAGAGGGTCAGCGACGAAGAGGAAGACCTCCGATGAGATAGATAGATGCAGAGGCCGCAACCGTGGGCTGAAACGTAACAGCTGTGAGGCAGACACACGACCAGGCAGCGTTTGGCTCTGTTGGGCAGACATAAGGTCGCTATGAGTCAGAAATGACTCCGGGCACCTGTCAACTGCAGGGAATACTTTCCCACACTGTCTGAGTGAGCAAAGGACTCAGGCTTAGCGTGAGGAGCAGGAGGGATTCTAGGGGTGATCAGCCCCTCTCCAGCCCCCTGAGCTTCAGGCAGCAGCCCCTGCCTTTTAGGGGGCCTGCTGAGACTGCGCTGTGTGTTGAGAGGGGGACTGACCTTCCAGGCGTAGGCCCAGCGTTCTGGACCCCGCTGCCTCGTGGGCTCAAGCAGAGGAGCAAATGTGCAGAGGCTAGGCAGCCACCACATACAGGGACCCAATGTTCCCACTCAGCGTCCAGCCTGGTCACCAGGTGGCTGTGTGGAAGGAGCCTCTGTGCCCTTACAAGGACTGGTTTTGATCTGCCTGCCACCGACATCAGCCTTCCCTCAGCCTTAGCAGTGCTGGCTCCCAGCAGCCGGTCTGCCCGCGCAGCAGCTGTTGTAGGTGGGCGCTGGCTTCTGGGAAGCCTTACTGGCTCTGGGGGACGCCATCTCGTGTGGCCTGACATCGTGCTGATGTGAGCGGGTCTCACAAAGCCCTTGGAAATGTGTCATTATCTTTTGATGCCATTTGTCCACGGACTTTTCGAAAGCCCCCTCCGGTGTCCAGTCCTCCCGTTGATTTTGCCAGCAGGCTGGTCGGTTCCCCGCTGGGGCTGACTGCGGATGGAGGTTGAGACACTTGCCCGGGGCTGTACAGCTACTGAGTGGCAGTGGCAGGACTGCCTCAAGGCCCTTGCTTGCACTGTGAACCCCAGCCAAACTGGGGTCAAGAGAAGCTGGTTGGGCCCTGCTTGCCTGGGGGTAGGGTTGGGGACAGCTACCTGGGCGATAATCCTACCACCTAGCTGGCAGTTTGTGGCGCAGCTGGAAACACCAGCCACAGAGCCTTGGCAACACATCCTTGAAGTTGGTGCGAGGTGGCAGGCGGCCTCTGGCCTGTACTCCATGCCCAACTCCATGGGCCTTGGCTTTTGAGCAGCAGCAGCTGAGCAGGCTCCAGGCACGTCTGTCCTACGCTTCCCCACGAGCTCTTTAAGAGGAGAGGGGCGGGGAAGGCGGCGACTGGCACTGGCGTCAGAAGTACTAACTGTTTTCTTCCTGCTCAGTCCTGGCACAAGTCCTGCTTCCGGTGTGCCAAGTGTGGCAAGGGCCTCGAGTCAACCACTCTGGCGGACAAGGATGGCGAGATTTACTGCAAAGGTGGGCACTGTCACTGCTCTGGGGCCAGGGGCGGAGGGAGGCGGGGATTTGGAGTCAGTCCTAGTGAATGTCCCAGCTCTGATATACCTGCCCCCCCCCCTCCTTCCCCATCGCCGTTGTTCCACAGACAAAGGAGAAACCTGGGGCCCAGAGAGAGAAGGTGACTTGGCCAGGGTCACCTGGCAAGTCAGGGCAGGGGTGGGTCTAGAGTCTGGAACCTAACTCCCAGGGCAGTGCTCTGTTAAGCCGATATTGCTTCTCCCTTGTTCCAGTGGCTACTGGGGAGATGACTGAAGCATGGCTGAGGATGAAGGGGTGGTGTCCAGGGTGAGGGGACACTGGGGGACTCTTCTCCAGAGTTCTTGGCAGGCTTTAGGGGTGGGGTAGGGTGGGGGTCTGCCTGGGAGGAGAAGCACGTCCTTACTCCTGTCTTCTCTCTACAGGATGCTATGCTAAAAACTTCGGGCCCAAGGGCTTTGGCTTTGGACAAGGAGCTGGGGCCTTGGTCCACTCTGAGTGATGTCGCCGCTGCCTGCTGCCCCCTGCTGCCCACTCTGTGCTTTGCATCTCCATCCCTTGCCCAGCAGCCTGGGAGACCTCAGATCCCTCAGACCCCTTCTCAGCCCTGACACATATCACTAATGACTCATACTTGGCCTTCTGGCTCCAGTTGGTTTGTGTGTCCACCTAAGGCCCCAGCACCACCAAGCGGCTCCCCCTGCCTGCCGGGGATCTGATGACATCGCCTTCAGGAGGCCTTGATGTTTCTGAGTCTAGTAGGACCTGGCCCTCTCCCCCTACCCTGTCTTAGCCTCATAGGGTGAGTGTCCATCATCAACTGGCCAAGACCCCGAGCCACCATCCTGGAGCCCAGAGGAGCAGCAGCAGCAGCAGACCCCGAGGGGGAGAAAAGTGCCCGGAGGGGGTGGGGGGTAGGAGCAGTATATGCTTGAGTGAATTCCTGCATGTCTCCGCTGTGGGAAAGAGGGTGGGCTCTTTCCCTCAAGCAGGCCTGGGAGTCCCAGCTCCGGGAGTCCTTAGAAAGAGGGAGAGAAGGTGCACACTGGGTCATAGGCCAAGGAGCCACTGGCCTCCCCAGGCCCCTTGCCTTTGAGTCTGTGTGAAACTCACGGGGTCCTCCTTCAGGTTGGAGGAGACAACTAGGTTTGAGGTCCCCAAAGTCAGGACGTCACTTGACCCACCCCCTCCCAGGTATCTAGTTTCATTACACACTCGCCATCAGGGGCCCACATCGTGGGGTAGCTAGAGCTAACCCTAACCCTGGGGTGGGCAACTTCACTCCAACCCTCCACCACCCCGGCCAGCACCCTGTTCCACCCAGGCCTGCTTGTCACTCAGATGGAGAGGGCAGCAGCCACAGCCTCACCCTTCTCTGAACATCCCTTCCCTTGGCATCTAGCCCTTGGAGGCCCTCCTGCCAACCAAGGACCTCACCCCTTCTACTTCACCTGCACCTGCCTTTGGCCATATCCCACCCCGAATCCCTTCAGGCCCAGTTCGGAGCAGCAAGAGGAAGGTATCAGGGCTGGGAACACCACTTTAAGGAGCTGGTGACTGAAAGGCTGTGGGCAGGGACAGTACTCAAGCTGCCTTCTCTTCTGGTCAATAAAGCGAAGTAGAAAAGAACTCTGGTGTTCTGATCTGTGGGGACACGCCATTCCCCTAGGGCTGGGAGGGAGCCTGGTTGGAGCAGCCTAATTAGCCAGAGGTCTGGTACTCTTAAGCTGGCTGAGGGGTTTTGGCTTTCTTTTTCTAAGCACTTGTCTCCAGTATCAGATATATCACAAACACACTGCCATAAGTGACCCCAGCTCCCCAGCTCCCCTGCCGTGCCCTGTGGGTCCCCGCGCCCAGACAGCTGGGCCTGGGAACTGTGTGACTTTGAGGGGCTCAGTGAGGCCCCAAGCTGTGCTTCAAACTTTTCCCAGCTTGGAAAGCCCCGGGCAGGAGTGAGATGGAAACTCAGCTGGAGGAACCTTGCACTTCAGATTCAGAAAGCTCACTTCTGCTTGGAGAGGGGGTGGGGTAGAGAGGCCTGGCTCAGCCCCTGCACTATCAGGACCCACGCAGCCATGTCCAGGGACAGCTAGAGAGGGCTCATCATCTTAGGGATGCTGGTTGGAAGTTTTGGGACCGGTCTTCTCTGGTCCAGCTCTATTTGAAAATGTGCCCACACTGAATTTACAAAATATCAAGCAGGTGTTTTCATACCTCGGCCCACTCTGGATGGCTGGGTCCATGCGTGGTCTTCCACGGCCCAGTCCTTAAGCTCTGAGAATGGGAATATCAACACAAAATCAACTGTGTCAAGCAATTAAAAACACACTGTCATCAAGTCCACGGGACAGGGTAGAACCGCACCTGTGAGTTTCCGAGGCTGAAATGCTTTACAGGAGTGAGAAGCCCCATCTTTTTCCCACAGAGTGACTGGTGGTTTTGAACTGCCGACCTAGCAGTTAGCTGCCCAATCACATGTAATCACAGCACCACCAGGACTCCAAGTACAACACCAAATAAATGCAAAGTGACAGGTAGAAGGGTTTTGGCATTCAGTGGGCAGGGTGGTGTTCCCCAGGTGGGGCCAAGGGCTCGACAGTGCTCAGCTGCTCACAGACAAGGTTGGTCTTTTGAAGCCACTTAGCCGAGCGCAGCAGCAACACCGGCTTCTCACAAAGAAGACAGCCCACAAAGAAAACCCTAGTAAGGTGACCAGATTTTAACATTGGCAAAGCGGGACAAAAGCGAGACACCATTGATAAAACTCCTATCCTGGCGAAATAGCCACATGGCAGCCGAAAACCGTTTGTTTACCCTTGTGTCGTGCATTCTTTCCAAAAATCGGGACTTTTTAAAAACGCCGCGGGGCGCAGGACAAATTGTTAAAAATCGGGACTGTCCCGCCAAGCGGGACATCTGGCCACCTTACCCGACGGGGCAGTTTTTGAGAGAGTGACCGCTGGTTCCTAAGTTCTAGGCACTCGGGGCGATTTGCCGCTCGGGGCGGGGCCCACGGGGCGGGGCCGAATGGGAGCCCAGGGATCTGAGAGTCGGAGGCAGGCCGCCCTCTGCTGGCTGCTCGGCGGGGCCTCTGGGTGCTGTGGCAGGACAGCCTCCTAGTCCAGCGGTTCTCAACCTCTGGGTCGCGACCCCTTTGGAGGGTCGAACGACCCTTTTACCGGGATCGCCTGAGATAATCGGGAAACATATTTCCCATGGTCTTGGGAACTGAGACACCACACCGCTCCTCTATCCGTCTCCAGGCAGGTCCGCCCACATGCAGAGACGCTGATCTGGTAAGAAAGAAGCTGTCTCAACCTTCGCATTGACATTGGCTTTTTACTGCATACTGTCGCAAAAGGTAGCAATGTATTTACTCTTGTTATAGTAAGACTGTTACCCATGCTACACCATGCTTCAAGGCAAAATTTCCTTTATTTGTCATTAGAAATAAATATTTCACAGTAGATAATTACATAGTTTTTGTGATTAATCACTATGCTTTAATGATGTTCAATTTGTAACAATGAAAATACATCCTGCCTACCAGATATTTACATGACGATTCACAAGAGTAGCAAAATTACAGATATGAAGTAGCAACGAAAATAATGTTATGGTTGGGGGTCGCCACCGCATGAGGAGCTGTATTAAAGGGTCCCCGCTTTCGGAAGGTTGAGACCCGCACAAGCTGTCCAGCTCGCGGGCAGCCAGCCTTCCGGGAAGCCTAGGGCGGGACACACCCCGGGGAGAGAAGCCTCCTGGAGTCTTGGCTGCGGGGTCCCGGAAGTGTCCTGGGCGGGGCGAGGAGGGCGGGGCCCGGCGTCCGCCGGCGAGGCCGCCACGCCGTCCGGAGACGCCAGGTGGCGCTGTGCGGTCGAGGCAAACGGAAGGCGCCCCCTTTCGGCGCGCGCGCCCTCCCTGATGGGCCACGCTTATTGCGCGCGTGCGCGCACGCATCTAACCCCGGATAGTGGCCTCCCCTTGGAGTATTTCCGCCGCATTGGAAGGCTTCGGTCTACCAAACTGTGGTATTGCTCCAAAGGAAGAGGGTAACCAAGGGTCTTTACGCCCTTTCCGGTGTTTCTGCCTCGGAGCTCTCCGAGCGAGGCGTCCTGGGCTGGGTGCCTTCCGTGGGAGCGTCGCCAGTCGCGGGAGCGGCCGTGGCTGGGCCTCTTGGGTGTGATGGGAGAGCTGCTCTCCCCAGGGGAGGCGGGCTCAGCCGCTCTCTCGGGCGTCCCTCCTCCGCCAGCAGCCCCAGTAACCGATCCGGGCCACCTCGAGTTTCTGCTGCCTCCCAAGGGGCCGGGAGGAGGAGCCAGGCTAGGGCGTAGGAGCAGGAATGGAGGAAAGAAGGGGGTTGGGGCTGCAATGAGGCACAAGAATCGCCTCCGTATGATAGACACAAATCGGGAGGAAGCGGAAACTCAGTTTCCAGATCTAGATCAGTGGGGGCGTGGCGGCCAGCGGATCAGGCTAGAAACCCTCTAGAGATCAACTCCTCAGGGTTCCCACCCGCTCTTTACGATGAGAATCAGCGAGGGAACCTGTTAGGATGGAGTCCCAGCCCTGCCCCCCTTGAAATCCGGAGTCTGTGGGCCCGGGCGGTGCCTGAGAATCTGTATTCTAAGAAGGTCCGCAGGTGATTCTGATGCGCAGTCAGGCTTGAGGACCTGGGGACTTGGCCAGCCCAACCCTGCAGCTCGCGCCAGCTCACCGCCCCACCCGGCAGCTGGTGCCGCCTCTGAACAATTCTAATGATTAGAGAGGACTTCCTGGAACTTCCTATTTCTGTCCCCTAGAGTCATCCAGAACAGGTCTAACCCCTCTCGTGCATGACAGCCCTTCAGAGAAGTGAAGACAGCTGAGCCCGAGCCCGAGCCAGCTCCTCGCCTGGACACCCCACCCCCAGGAGTGCAGCCATCCCCAGTGGAGGGAGAGAAGGGTAGTCAGGGCCTGGGGACCCTGGGTGGATGGCCCAGGGATCAAAACAAACAAAACCAAAAGCAAATGGGGGGTTTTCGGTGAGTTGGTGGGCAAAGCAGAGCAGCTCCGGCTGAGCAAGACCCTCAACTTGCCTGAGGCTCAGTTCCCCAAGCCCCAGCCTTTTGGACATGCTGTGGGCATCACTCATCCATCTCGTGAACTTACTACATGCCATAGCCTCTTCAAAGGCCTCAAGTGTATGGATTCATTGCATTTTTTCAATGCTTCATGAGGTGGTTGCTATCATTATATCCATCTGCGCAACATCAAACAAGCCAAGAACCAAAGAAATGTCAGCAACTTGCTGGAGGTTCAGTGGCACAAACAGGACATAAAACTCGGGCAGCTGGATCCAGAGGCACGCTTGCCACTGGTGCCCTGGCACGATCTTCTTTAGAAGAAACTGCCTTGTGTCCAGGAGCTCTGGTAGCATCGTGGGTTACGTCGAGGGAGGAAGAGGAACGGATGTCTGCTCCTGTAAAGATGTGAAGTCTTGGAAACTCACCGAGTCGGTTCTACCCTGTGCTATCGGGTCATTCGGAGCCGAATCAACTCCATGGCAGGGGATGTGATAGGCAGTGAAAACACAGTGAGCTTCTCTGGGGCTCATACCAGACCACACGCCTGGCACTGGCCTGGATATTCCCTTGTTTGATTCCCGCATTGGCACCACGAGGAGGTTAAATGACTCCTTGATCGCAAAGAGGAAACTGAGATTCAGTGGCGTTTTCAAGGGATGTGCTCAGTGTTCCTGTGAGGATTGGAACCAGCTGTGGGATTTTGGCAGCCTCCTCCCCACTGGGTGTCACCTCCTTATCTGTGAAATAAAGTCACTGGCCTAAATTAGTTCTAGGGGAGTGCTTCCCAAACTTCAGTGTGCCTGCCAATCTCCTGGGGGATCTTGTTAAAATGCAGATTCTATCTAAGCAGTTTGGGGTGGGGCCTGAGACCCAGCCTTTCTCACCAGCTCCCGGGTGGAGGAGGTTCTGATACTGCTGATCCTGGGAGCACACTGGGGAAGCCGGCTGAAGGGGGCCCGCCCAGCTCTGTGAGGTTCTGAGTTTATGGGCCTAGGAAGACTCTCCCTAAAGGTCATGAAAATTCTGGTGATTTCGAGCTAAGCCCTGAGTGGGCATTTTTCTGTGCCTGAACAAGTCCTGGATGCCTTCTCTGAGCCTGCTTCACTTCCGCTTTGCTGACCTCAGCTTGACTCCTCCTGAGGCTCAATGCCTGGGTCCTGGGACACAACGGGGACTGTGGCTCCAGCTTGGAGGAATGGAGAGGGATCCCTGAACACGGCCTCATCGTCTTGGTTCCTGGTGACACCCACTGGCCCATGGCAGTCACCCTGTGGTCCTTTAGAGCTGTTCCCAAATGGTCCCCATCCTCTGGGCATCTGGGAGGGTTAGATTTACCCTTACTGGAAGCTAGATGTGACTACAAGGCTGGCTTTGATCTCTAAAATGTGCTCAGAAATGGTGTACATGTCTCCTGGGCAGACGTCTGTAAGTCATCATGTCCCTTTTCCATTTGATGGAGATGGTGGAAGATGGGTTAACCTGGTGCCTCCTTAAGCTCAGATCCGAGCACTGCAGTGAGGAGGACCTCCCCTGTCAGCCTGAGTAGGACCAGGTGATGACTGA